GGGAGGGAGGGGAGGAGAGCAGAAGAGGAGGAGAGGAGAGGAGAGAGAGGGGAGGAGAGGAGAGGAGAGGAGAGGAGAGAGAGGAGAGGGAAGGAAAGGAGGGAGGGGAAAAGGAAGAGGAGGAGGGAAGAAGGAGAAGGAGAGGGAAGGAAATAAAATGTAGAAGGATTACATCAGGCCTATTACTAGACATGTTTTCTCACATTCCTCTGCAGCTTGGTCTTGGCTGGCATTGAAACCCAGTGGCTCCCCTCCAGCTCCTGAGAGAATGAGCCTACAGAGAAGGGAGAGGAAGGCAAGGAAGGCTGTAGATCGTGGTAATTGAGCTGAGTCCCCATGCGATAACTTGGAGCAGACAGATTGACAGAACAGCTATTTGATTTCCTAAAGTAAATCTACTGGAAATAGAGAGTTTATAATTTGTTGGAATTCTACCACATTTTTAAATAAATGTGCCAAATGAACCCAAGGACATCAGATCTATCATGATGATGGATATTGATAAATATAACAAGTTTACTGCTAAGAAAATAGTACTAATAACCTTATATTGAAATATCAGTGCTACCACAGAACAGTTTCTACTTAAAAACATCTGTGAGCCAAGCCTGAAAAGCTACCCTGCTGATTCCACACACCCATGACAGTCTAAGCAGTGTGGTGACGGCCAGCGGGGCAGCGATAGGGAATGTGTGCCAACATTTCTGACGGAAATTCTACTTTCTGAGGACTTACGCTCCGTTACAAAGAGTCTGCTGAAAACTAAAACTGGCCACAAATCTTAGCTTAGCAGAATTCTATCATATACAACAAAAATGAAGATTAAGAATGGGGAAACCCTACAAACTTGACTTTCAGAAAAGACCAGAGCGTTGCTAAAGAAAACCAAAGGATTAGTAATTAATCTTTTTACATAGAAAATTACATTTGGAAAAGTGGTAAGATCATTAGACTGGAAGTCTAATAATTTCCAGTATCTGGAAGGGAATAAATAATTTAAAAGAGCAATGATTGAATACAGGAAAAACGATATCAGTTTTAGAAATAATTGCTTTTACTCTTAAATGTTTTATGTTGTGTATTTTTAGTGGTGGCAACTGGCTGAGCCTACGATCATATACAAAAATATAAATGACCCAAAAAAAAAAAAGTTTTACTCTCTTAAAATAGCAAAATAAGAACAGAATTTGAGAATAGTCTAAACTTAAAGACATACAGTTCTTAAAATTTTAATGTAGAGGATACTTTTTTAGGGTCCTAAATAAGCTAGGAATCCTAAACACAGACTTTAATTTGAGTACTTCTTAGAAATTGATGCTCTCAGTTAACTCTGATCTTCCCTTTGTTTATAGATCTCAGTTTTTTAGTCACAGGAGGTCAAGTGTTGACATAAGTGGTCCAATAGATGAAAGATGATTAATAGAAAATTTAACATATCTCCAAGTCAAATGAGCACATAACCTCTACAAATATTTATTACTAGAATATAACCTGTACAAATATTTATTATTTTGTTTATTCATTCAATTACTCAAAAAATATTTAGCACACACTAGGCAAAATGTTCCATAGAACAACCCTAAAGTCTACCAAAAAAATACAAATATATACTCATTTGATAATTTTTGATAGCTCCCATTTTGTGAAGGTACCAAACACTAAGAGAACATTTGAGATAGATCTGAAATCTTTCACAATATACCAAACTTTTAAAAACTCATGCACATTTTTCTAACGTTCTCATGAAATGAGACAAAAGGGAATTTTTTTCCTGCTCTAATGGAAGAGAAAAGGCCTCTAAAACAAGGTGCCCTCCAAGATAATGGAGTGTAAAAGAATGTGCAAATGTACTTCAGAAAGTCTCTCTCCTGGACACCAATTGAGTATCAGAAGCTAAGGGCAGGAAATAACCACTTTTGCCTTCTTTTGCTGTCTCTAGTTTGTCTTTGCTCTATTTTTTTTGGTCAGTTCTTAACTCTTCAGACACAATTGTACTTGATTGAGATGGAACTGGTAAAGCCACATTAGAAACTGCTCATGGAAAAATCAATAGAAAAGCATAGAGGTACATTTAAGAGAAACAACAAAACAAAACAGAAACTTTGTTGACAGGAAGGAAATAAAAGATGTTGTAGTAGAATGTAAAGAACAGATATTTCCCGAGTGCCTATTCCACTACAGCCTATAGCATAGTAAACTCACATGTCTGCTGTGAAAGATGAGATGGGTGCAGGCAGATGACTGTCCAGAAAAAGCAAAAGACTGGTAAATGTTCTGTCATGAAAAGCTGAACATACTTCATTTGTGGAAAACCATACAATTAACTACTACGAATGAGCCAGACCTGCATCTGTTAACAGAGATAATTCTAAAAAAATTAGTGTTGAGAAAAAACAATTTTAAAGGCATATATTCAGCACGATCCCATCTATGTAAACTTAAAAATAATACTGTATATATATATAAACAGACATATTAATTATGCATATATATAACAAATGGAATAATGTACAATATCCTTGTTATATTAATACTACCTCTGGGAAGGGGAAAGTAGGAAGAATGGTAGGGTTTTTTTTAACTGTAAAAGTTAGAGATCTGAAGCAAATATGGTAGTATCAACATTTTAAAATATGGGGTAGATACATCAGCTTTATTCTTTTCTGTAGGTTTAAGGTATTTCATAATAAAAATGAATATATTTTTTGAAATTTCTTGTTAAAAAAGAAAACTGCAGACATTGAGACAATTAGAAGGAACTGTTCCAATAAGTCTAATTTTCTTGCTTCTGAGATGGGAATATATAAGGCTGATTATTTTCCACCTTCAGAAATAGGAATGATGGAAAGTTCATGTAGAAAAAAGATTGTCCTTAATATGAGAAGTCAGTGGCACTTTTGGCAAATGGGTGGTCATTTCCAGATAGAAGTGAATTATCTGAACCTAATTATATTGAGTCCTTATGTTAGTCTGTTTTGCATCACTATAAAGGAATACCCAGGACTGGGTAATTCATAAAGTAAAGAGGTTTATTTGGCTCATGGCTCTGCAGGCTGCGCCAGCATCTGCTTCTGGTGAGGGCTTCAGGGAACTTTTGATCAAGGTAGAAAGCAAAGAGTAGCAGAAGTGTCATATGGCATGAGAAGGGGCAAGAGAGAGGGAGGAGGTGGTACCAGGTTCCTTTAAACAACTGACTCTCATGTGAACTAGTAAAGCCAGAACTCACTCATTACCTTGGGGAGGGCCCAAAGCCATTCATGAAGGATCTGCCCCCAAAGACCCAAATAACTCGCAGCAGGCCACTCCTCCACACTGGGGATGGAATTTCAAGATGAGATTTGGAGAGGCCAAATATCCAAATTATATCAGTCTTCTAGCTTTAAAACAGTGTTTCAACTCATATTCACGTGGGTTATTCTTTCTCTTCCTTATGGGGTGTTAATGTAAGGTTTAAGGGACACAATTAATGGATGCCACATTTTCACTATTTCTACAAATGTATGATTAGAGCCTGGGTTTTGGAATAATAATTTGCACACTTATGAGTGTTGATTAGCTGTGTAGGACCACAGTTAACATTTTATTTTTGAGCTCCTCACAAAGACTTTCTTTTCTTTCAAAATTGCCAATTAACATTTTCTAATATAATTCCCAAAGAGCTCATTCACTGGGTGCTAGGGGGCCTCCAGCAGGAAGGAAACCTACTAACATTTTATTAATTTTGGATCATGTGTAATTCTTAGAATTAATGGCAATGAGCCAGAGAGGATTTTTTAAAAATCATAATGGAAAATAAGCCTGAAACATTTTACTAGTGAGGCAAGAGTCACTTGAGATATATTATTAAATATAAGGGGTAGAAATAAATCACAGACACAAGTGGTATTACACAGCATGCATTTGTCTGAAAAAATAGTCTCCATGCATGAGGATTAGATATACACCCACAATAAGAGGGCATATTGGTCTATAATTTTCAATATTACATCCTTGTATTTTTTATTATATGCTATTTTTCAACTAGCAGAGGAACATGTTCTCATAAGGCTAATATTTATTCTTCCATGTTTATAGAGCTAGTAGTGCATTTCAGGAAATGAGAAATTCTGAGAAGCCAAATATAACTTGATGTCCTACGCACAAAAGAAGACAAGACAGGAAAATCCCATGTTTTAAAAACCTGACTCAGGAACTCAGTCATAAAGCTTTAAATAATTAAATAACATAAGATAATGGAAGTCTTTTGATATTATTTTTTTCTATCCCCATAAAAGTAGCCTTTTTATAGATGATACATAATATCACACAGGATTTCTCATTTTACTAGAAAGCAAAGAAAAGGCTCCGTTAGTCCAGTTCTCATTTTCAACTCTCTACTTTGTGTATTTTGTGGAAGCTAAAGCAGATATTAAGTATAATCCCACTATAAAAACTGAAACACCCCTACTTAAAACTGTAACTTTAACTCCTGAATTATCATTTTGTTATTAAATAATCCATATACTTAATGATTTCTTACCTTACACCCAAAGAAAATACGCATGCATGAGAATTTGATTTTCCATGGAGAAACTGTACCCATATTATGGTAAAAGTCTCAAGAGATAAGAGCCTTAGCAAAGCTTTTGGGGGGAGAAATTTCCCAAAGATCAATTGTGTCTGTCTTCGCCTTTAAATTTATAACTTTACTTGAGCCTTTGGAAGGATCAGGAGAGAGAGAGAAGTTGCCATTTCCTCACATTCCAGATGCATGAAAAACAAACTGGGAGCCTGGGACAGACAGGTGAGGGAGAAGGCAGAGAAGCTGACCACACAGCAGGGGAGTGAGGTAAAGGATGTTGGACTGAAGGGAAAGGGAGGTTAAGCCAGAAGCAAGCACCTCTTGGGCTCCCCATAAACTGATCCTTGCATTTCTGAGGAAGCCTGTGGCCTAGAGCAGAGAGTTGAAACTAGGGTGCTTGGTGAAAAGCAAATGAAAAGAATAATACTTCATTACTTACCTTTTTCTCAGTCTTCCCTCAGATTTCATATTTTCAACACCTTCCACTTGGTACCTGACCTCAGCCTTTGTGACCTCAGCCCCACTGCTTCCCTCTATCCCCAGAGCTGTCCTCTCTCTGCCATCTCCTATACTGAGTTCTAATAGTATCTTTCCCTAATCCAAGTTCCTATACGAAACAAAAATGATCTCCTTTAAACACCAAACTAGAATTTCTGGTTCTTCGAAAGAGTCCACCCATCCATAAGTGCATGTTAGTGTGTTTCTAGACAGCTGAAAAATAAATGTAAGCTCAGAGTAGATGTATGATAGCATGGAAGGAGAATGGCACCCAGAGTTACATAGAGGGGCTGGGACCAGCTGCACCCTGCTCTCAACTCTGCCAGTTCAGACCTGTCAACTATTAAGTGAGGAGTTTGGGGTCTAGGCAATCACAGAATTCCTCTGCAGGGATGTGGGAAGGAAAGTTTGAATCTGGTTGTAACAATGACTGAGGGGTGGTGGGACTCTTGGCCTTTGGTTCCTCAGAACCAGGATTATTATATATGCAGACATGCATGGAATAATCTTTCATCACAAAGAACTGTCCCACTTAAAATGCCAATAAGCCCTGATGGAGAAATATCAATAGGTGATTTTTAATGCTCCTTCAACCTGTCTAGACTCTTAAACTTAAGTGAAATGTAAGGAACTTATAAGACTCAGCAAAGAATTGTGAGGATAAGTAACATTTTAGATTATACAATTTTATAGGAAAAAATTTTTAAATGGTCTTAATCTCCCCCCAAAAGAAAAAGAATGATTTAAGAACTGAGACTACGATGATATGGGTGGACTCTGACCAATATATTTTCTCTTTCCATAGAAAAAGAAATAAAAACAAGATAAGGGATCAAAGGAGGGGACAGAATTTGCATTAGACTTGCAGTTAGAGCAAGTGTGTGTGTGTGTGTGTGTGTGTGTGTGTGTGTGTGTACGCACCTATGCTAAAGTGGGCAAATAATGCTCAGTCTGACCTCAATCCAGGGGCAAAAGAAAACTAGAGTGTTTCAGGAACCAGGGCAACATGCAGAAAATGGGCCAGCAGTCCTGGGAAGTCCTCCTGCAATGATCAGCAAGCAACTATCAATATAGAAAAAGCATTTGACAAAATTCAACACCGTTTCATGTTTAAAATAAAGAATAAGAAGGTAGAATGGTAGTTGCCAGGAGCTGAAGGGAGGGGAAATGGGGAGTTGCTTTTCAACACATAGAATTTCAAGTCATGCAAGATGAAAAAGTTGTGAGGATTTGCGTATAACAATGTGCATATAGTTAACAATAACATATTATGTACTTAAAAATTTGTTAAATAGTAGATTTTGTTTTGCTTTTTTTTTTTTTTAACCACAATTAAAAAAATTTTTTTAAAAAGGAAACTGGATCCCTGGGTACACTGGATATGAAAGTTTGAAAACAGATTCTTATTGGTTTCAGACAATTCATGTGGAATCTTGCTTGTAGACTAGGGAGGAGCATTTAAGTAACTTCTCAAGTCCTTTCTAGCACTTCTGTTTCTATGGATACAGTTATTAGGTTCCGACACACTGTGACATCCTACCAAATTGACAAACTGGAGAGTTGAGGGTGGAGGCACAACCTCCATCTGCCCTACCCCCAGTCCATGCCCTACCTCACGCTTCAATGTCAGTTAATCACGAGGCCTAACAACCAAGGGTGCAGTGGGGAAACTGGAATCTAGCCCAGCAGTACAGTAACATCTACTTTGACTCTCAGCAGAAATAAAAAAAAAAAAAAAAAAAAGCAAAACTGCAGTAAAGGGCTATTAAGGGAGAAAACATTTGTCACTGTGGACAGAATAAAAGTACCACAAAATGAAATAAATGCCTGTGGGAGAAGATGTGTCAGGCTAGAAAGTACTGTGTTCCTTTCTCCTTTGCTCTTCATTTAGTTTCTGTCCACTCAATGTACCAAGCTTTACCCTATACCCTGTTTCTTTTCCCAGCTATGAATGATGCACAGACTGAAGTTAGCCTTTGGTTAGGTTTGACAGAAAGTACCTTCAAAATAAAAGTGTTTTACTTGGTGCTATCTCAACAGCAAACATGTACTTCCAAAATGAAACGCATGCTTTGCTAGTAAGCTTTTTCCTTGAGTAAGCAACAATATTGTTAGCAATTTTTCAAACTTTTAATATATAATACAAACCCTATTCTATCATTTATAAATCATAGGGTGAGTACCCCCTGGTAGAACTAAATGAAAACATTCTGGCCACTCATTTTTATAATTTGAAAAATGTCATAATAATGACAATACTAGTTCATATTGACAAATGCAGTTTTGATTTTCGATATTTCAAAATATAATTTATCCACATTTCAAAATATAATTTATCCACAAGGTCTTAAATAATTGAAAGTACTTAACAAAATCTGATATATGTAGACACTTGATACAAATTTATTGAATCTATTCAGTTAGAATTTATGAATACAGAAATAAAATTTGTTTTAAACCAATGTAGGGTACATTTTATTTCTAATGTCCTTATAATATCCCATAGAGTATACACAAATAAATACGAGAAGGTATTTCATTTCATTTATATTGTTCAATGAAATTAGAAGATTATAATATGTGTAAAATCTACTTCCAGAGTTCTAATTGAAATAGAGTATGACTATTATCCATTTAAAAAAATAACCCTCAAAGTTAATACCTTCAGTAAGGAGAATGGAAAAACTAACACAAACCTTGAAACTGCCAGCAGCTCAGAGGACAAATGTGTTCTTCAGGGACTTGATTGAAACAATGTATTCATGAAAGTCTTTTAAATGGAAGCTGGTCACAAAGGAAGTCCCATGGAAGACAGTGTGGCTCTGACATACCAGAGGCTTCTGCAAAGCAAAGCAAAGCACAATATTAGGAAATGTCCAAGGTACCATTACTGCCTGGCCCAGCCATTGTGGTCAGAAAGTGCTATATTAGCACCTGCAGGTACTATCAGCCTGATAGTAATTAATTTATTTTAGTTTTGTACCGAAATCTTGTTATTCATAAATGCCAAAGTGGGACAGTAATCTTTCAGCACTGTATTTAGAAATTTCTAAAAGTCAGGAGTATTTTTTAACGAAGCAAACTTCTGCTTTTCCTCTTACCTAAGGAGGTGAGGACTGAAGAAGTGTGGGTAGGGTATGAACACAAAGGTGGTGACAGTATTTACTGAGTGCCTACCAGCTGTAAGGGGCTTTGTAAATAAACATGGGATCTTTAATCTGAACAGCCCTGCAACTGGAATAGTACTGGTTCCGTTCTACAGATGAGAAGACGAAGGCACAGACTGCTGAGCTCAGACTTAGAAACTGCATCTATCAAAGCCCAAAGGCCTCAGAGCAGGTACTTTCCCTGATTTCACTCCAGGTGATTTAGAAAAACATTTCACAAACAGAATTGACAAGAGAACACATAACACTGCAGTACACTGAACTAATTCAAATATTACTAAATTAAGAAATTGTCTTTCCTAATTTGCTTTTGTTCTATATTAAATATTGTCTTATTCAGTCAGGTCCGCAGACACCCAGCTTTAAGCAGTGCACTTTGTCTCACACATTTCTTCCTTACACAAAGAAAGAGAACTTGTTGGAAACCAAGGAGCTGTCCTCTGTCATGGTGTGCGTGTATGCAGTACTCTATTAAGACTAGTGATGCAAACCTCTCATCTTCCTCCAGCCCCTCACATGACCCAGAGATCCTCTGCTGTCCACATGAAAGGGAAAACTTAGTTTTCCTGATGCATTTAGGAACCAAGCCCACAGCCTCTGTGGCTGTCACTGAGTGATTGCTGTACCTCCTTATGGCTACATCCATCTTAATGGCTGAAGGTGACTGAGGGCTCTACATAGGTTTCTGTTTTCATTGTTAGTCAATTTTCTCCATGTTTCTGATGGTTACAGTATCAACACAGAGGGTCCCTCAGTTTACCCCCACCAGCTGTCCCAGCCCCAATGCTCACATTGCATATCGGGGTCACTGCTCACCAACTAAGCACTTCAACATTTCCCTCAAAATACCAGCTTTTAATGCCATAGACTTTTGTCTGAGTCATACAACTGTTAGCTCATGGCCACACTACGCTAGGAAAGTATCTCAGAAAGGCTTGAAAATGATGGAGCCAGGAAGGTCACACATAACTTTTAAAATTTTTATTAAATTAAAATAAAATTTTTATTTTATTTTATTTTTGGCAACAGGAACTTCAGTCATAAATAGAGAAACAGGGGAAAATGATGGATAGTTTTTCAAGTTCTATGGACCAAAGCCTACGAAATTACCTGGGGAAAAAAAGAAAAAAGAACAGAGAAAAGCAGAATTGGTTTATCTTTGCACAAAAGAAGAAAGGAGAGCTTGACAAAAAAATAGGGAAAAAACATTTGGACCATAGAATTAAACCTAAATGACGGGAATGCAAAATGAATAGAAACTCTCCTTAAAACCTCACATACTAGCTATTCTGTGTTCTTCATTCCACTCCCTCAAAAACAAAGTTTCAGGTTAAATGCCTAAACTAGCAGGCCCCTTTGTCATAAAATTCCAATGGCAATTTTTAAGCATTCACTGAGCCACTATTTATTGGATACTTATCAGTGAATCAATAAGTTGGAAAATTCCAGTAACAATGAAATAAGCAAGACAGTCTTTTAGTCAAGCATCTCACTGTCTTGTAGTGGGATGTCAGAAACTATAAGATGGTGATACCAGTAAGTGTTTACAAGAATGGGATCTGGAACCAGACTGCCTGAGGGTGTCCCTGATTCATTACTTAGTGGCTGTATGGCCTTAGGCAAGGTACTCAAACTCTGTAACCTCAGCTGCCTCATGTGCAAGATGCACTTCCCTCAAAGGTTGTTTAGAAGATTTAGAAGATGTGCGCACATAGTAAGAACTCACTGAACGTTATGAAATATAAGGACTGTTGTATAACAGATCACGGGTAACATCACTAAGGAGAAAAGTGCTCTGAAGCTTCGGAGGAGATGAGATCCTGTCTCTAGGGACACGAAGGGAACAAAAAAGGCTTGAGTGAGGAAGCGAGCATTTAAGATCCACTATGACTAAACAAACACACATGATTAGGCTTTTACAGAAATCCTCTGATAATAATTGAAAAGCCAGAAAATGAGGAACTTTAGGGAAAAGAATAGGTCTGTGAAATTAGACATTTTTTCCAGGGTCTGATGTGAAAGCAGATACCTAACATAACAACGCAGCCAGGAAATGATACAAAGAAGAAAATTCATGCATCGCTACCAAGAGAGGTACTCTACCCCACAGTGTCCTGTTCTGTTCAACTGTAATCTGAAATGACACCATGGCTTTTAATGGAACTTGGCAAGCTCTAGACATGCCAATTTTAAACTTAACCTCAAATCTAAATCATAGGGCTTGAGACTCAAATCTCCAATGCAACCTTTCCTGGGCATTGTTCAAGAAAATATGTCTGTCACTGTGGACAGAAACCATATGCCCTTTTACTCTGGGAAGTTTAATGGAAAGATGTACTGTACTGTTGGCTGTGATTCTCTAGAAGCAGTGAAAACAAACACTGTTTGATTTTGTATCATTCATTTGGAAATGTGTTACCATATTAAGGAACATTTCTATTTCCCCTACATTCCGGACTTGATTTAATTCAAAAGAAGCTTGGAAGGAATCTCATCATCTATGGATTTAACATACAGTCCCTCTGAATACGTTCCTTTTTCAAGGGCCCACTAAGCCATGCTACTTTGTCTTTGCCAGACCCATATGATGTTGTAGCTAAAAACCACAGAGTAGCTAAAAACACACGGTGGCTTGAATTTTCTCACACCCTCTATGCCTCCCAACCCTGAGAGGTCTGCTTAAGGGGATTTACATGGTTCGCATGTGTCCCCTCCAAAATTCAGGTGTTGCCAATGTGCTAGCATTCAGAGGTGGAGCCTTTAAGAGATGATTGGGCCATGAGGGCTCCTCCCTCACGAATGGGATCAAGGCTCTCATACAAAAGGCTTCTGGCAGGATTGGAGTAGCTGACACTTTTGCCTCCTGTCACGTGGGGGCGCAGCATTCCTCCCCTCCAGAGAAACCACCTTGGAAGCAGACAGTAGCCCTCACCAGATCTTGCCAGTGCCTTGATCTTGGACTCCCTAGCCTCCAGAACAGTGAAAAGGTAACTTTCTATTTTTTTGTAAATTACCAGTCTATGGTATTTTGTTGTAGCAGCACCAAACAAAGACAGAAATTGGTACCAGAGGAATGGGGTTATGCTATAACAAATACCTAAAAATGTGGAAGCGGATTTAGAACTGGGTAATGAGTAGAGCCTGGAAGGA